GCCCAAGCTAAATTGAAGCCGCAGTTGGGTAGCCAAACCGGAATCGAATTCCGGAAAACTTTGGAAACAGATGAATGGTTCCAGAAAAATAGACACGTGTGCACAATCAAGGACGGACTGCCATGGGTGGGGGAAAAGTTATATATACCAACCACCCAAAGGGTCACGTTCATGCAGCTTTTCCACGACACAAAATCAGCAGGGCATTTTGGATTTGTAAAAACATTACATTTAATTAAAAGGCAATTTTGGTGGCCATCTATGGAAAAGGACATAGAAAGTTACGTGGCCAGCTGCCCGACATGTGCAACTGCTAAGAGGTTGCAAGGGAAATTGCCCGGACTGTTACAAACAGTGGCAAATCCCTCAGCCCCCTGGAAGGAAATAGCCATGGATTTTATAGTGGAATTACCAGAAGCAATGGAAACACTGTCATCTGGATGGTTACGGAGTTGTTTTCCAAACAGGTGCACTTTATCCCTTGCCAAAAGATTCCCACCACAAAAACCTTAGCGAAACCTTTTGTGCAGCACATTTACAGACTGCATGGGGCACCCCAACGCATCATATCTGATAGGGGAGTGCAATTTATGTCAGCATTTTGGAAGGAATTTTTATCCCTCTTAGGAACCACTCAGGGACTATCATCTAGTCATCATCCTCAATGTAACGGCCAATCAGAACGCTCAAACTCAGTACTTGAGCAATACTTAAGATGCTTTATTAATTTCCAGCAAACGAATTGGACGGACCTACTCCCTTTCGCAGAAGTCACCTACAATAACGCAGTCCACTCCAGCACAGGCTACACTTCTTTTCAAATAGCCACCGGTCAAAGTTTCAACCCTATGCCAGAACTAATCCCAAATGAACCAGCAATCCCATCACTGAAAGAATGAATAGCACAATTACAAAACACCTGGCCAATAATTAGAAAAGCCTTAGACGAAGCTAGGCAAGCATACAAAGCACAAGCAGATAAAAAGAGAGTTGAACCCACACCATTCATTGTAGGAGAAATGGTATATTTGTCTACAAAATACCTAAAATCCCTACAACCCTGTAAAAAACTTGGACCAAAATATATAGGATCTTTTCCAATTAAAAGAATCATAAACCCAGTAACAGTAGAATTAGAATTATCCAAAAATATCAGGCAAATACACCCAATGTTTCACTGCAGTTTGCTGAAAAGAGAACAAAAGTCACCCTTATGGCCAAAAATCTCCCCCCCCCCACCTCCAATCATGGTTGAAGGAGAACAACACTTCAAGATGAAGGAAATCCTAGACTCTAGGAAGTATCATGGGACAACTCAATACCTAGTAGCATGCAAACACCTTCCCTCCTCACAAAATGAGTGGTCCATAAACATCACGTCAGAGCCCCGAAACTGCTAAAGAAGTTTCATACAGAATATCCCAACAAACCAGGATAACTTTTATACCTGTTTTGTTTTCTCTACAGGTGGATCTCTCTTATTTTTAAGGGGGGCAGGATGTCAGAATCCAGTTACATTTACTTTCTATCTATCTCCTCTGATCTAAAACCAATTCTCACCTTTCCCTGGATTCTGCCATACTCCCAAGGGGGAGGGAGGATATGCATGTGGGTTTATTGCTTTCATTTCCACTATTCACTACAATGTAACCTTTTGTTTATTCTCCTTCATGTCTGCTACCCATTACAATGTAACAAATTGCCTCCTATACCCATGGTGGCAAACCTATGGCACGCGTGCCACAGGTGGCATGCAGAGGCCTCTCTGTGGGCACGCATGCCATCGCTCCAGTCCTAGGCCTTCAGCTGGGTTTTATAAAACCTTTTCGCTTTAAGCCTCCGCTGCCGTGTGCAAAAAAAAAAGGTTCAATCAATCAATGAATTTCAATTTCTTGCGGGAAAAATAATCTCGCCAAGTTGGAATTGATTGATTGAACTTTTTAGTCCCACTCAGTCTGCTGTTACCACTGCAGCCACGTCCACCCAATGGGCCACGCCCACCCAACTGGCCATACCCATCCAAAGGGCCACACCCACCCGGCACCCGACGATACATAAGTGGGTTTTGGGTTACAGTTTGGGCACTTGGTCTCTAAAAGGTTCACCATCACTGTCCTATACTATGCACCCCTCTGAACTTTTCCTCCCTACCGGGCAGGTAGGAAAAGAGGGGGACCAGGCACTGCAGACAGCAGTAGACCAGGTGCTGCAGAGGGCAGTAGACCAGGGACTGTGAATGCCAGCAGACCAGCAGACTGGGGACTGTGAACAGAAGCAGACCATTAGACCTGGGACTGAGAACAGCAGCAGACCAGTAGGCCAGGGACTGTGAATAGCAACCACACAGCAAACTCTTGGAAAAAGAAACCAATGCTATTTTGATTTGCAAAATATTGGATAGGAAAAAGAATAGGCATAATTACCTAGAATAGAGAAGCACATCCACCAACCATAAAAGAGGGATTTTCAAACAACAAATTCGTGGAACAGGTGATGGATACTATTGTGAAACTACTAGAGGAAAAAGTAAAGGGGTCTAGAGGCAACTCTAGCCAAACTCCAACCTGCAAAAGAAAGCTATATCCAAACCAAACCAAACAATGGACAAATAACTCCCAGAGGATTTGACTCTACTGACAAACCCTTGGAGGAAGACAAATGGAGGTATGTCACACATAGAAGGAAACACAACAAAGGAAGTAGCAGCATACATCTAACAAACCCTTACTGCCCAATCTAATCCAACCAGAAGGAGCCCCATTAAAACTGAGCAATCAATTTCTCCCCCGAGATGGAAATACACAGACCCACAACCTCCCCCTCAAAGAAAACATGCAGACACCTAGCAAAGAAACAACACCAAATATTCCTTAAAAAGTCACATCAACAAACACACCTGAGACAAACAGAAAAGCACCTCAGACTGCACCCCCCCAAAAAGAAGGCAAGTGCTGGTTATAGGAGATTATATTCTCAAAGGAACAGAATCAGCCATCTGCAGACCAGACATACAATCCAGGGAGGTATGTTGTCTCCCTGGAGCAAAAATCAAAGACGTGGCCGAGAACCTAACCAAAATAATTAGGTCCACAGATTACTACCCTCTTCTACACCTTCACATTTGGACGAATGACACAACAAAGAACCTGAGCACAATACTGAGAGACTATAAGCAACTAGACCACAGGTCAGCAACCCACGGCTCCGGAGTCGCATATGGCTCTTTGAGCCTTCTCCTGCGGCTCCCAGCCTCCTCCGCCATTTGCAGAGAGAGAGAGACAGAGACAGAGAGAGGCACTTGCGCTTCCCTTCTCTCTCTCTCTCTCTCTCTCTCTCTCTCTCTCTCTCTCTCTCTCTCTCTCTCTCTCTCTCTGTGTGTGTGTGTGTGTGTGTAAAAGAGAGTGGCCTCATGCTGTTCTCAGACAAGCTGACAAGCTTATTGGGCGGGGCTCCTGCCTTTGCTGCATCTCAGCAGGAAGCAGGAAGCAGCAGAAAGCAGAATCTCTCTCTCTCTCTCTCTCTCTCCACATTAGTCAAGTGATTGTCCACTAGGACTCCAAGGTCCCTCTCACAGTTACTGTTTTTGAGCCAGGTCTCGCCTAATCTGTACTTATATCTTTGATTTTTCTTGCCTAAATGTAAAACTTTGTTTTTCTCCAATTAAAACTCATTTTGTTGGATAGGGCCCATTGTTCCACTTTGTCAAGATCTTTTTGAATCCTGAGCTTGTCTTCTGGGGTGTTGGCTATTCTTGCCAGTTTAGTGTCATCTGCAAATTTGATGAGTTCCCCTTCTATTCCCTCATCTAAGTCATTGATGAAGATATTGAAGAGTACTGGGCTAAGACAGAGCCTTGTGGTACCCCACTGCTTACTTCTCTCCATGTGGATGTAGTACCTTTGAGGACTACATGTTGAGTACGGTTTGTCAGTCAGCTACAAATCCATCCTGGGAAATATAATCAAGCAATGGATCTGCAAACACTTAGAAACAAGCAAAGCCAATTAGAAACTAGAAGCCAATATGGGTTTGTCAAAAGCAGACCATGCCAAACAAACTTATTGCATTCTTTGAAAAAATGACTAAATTAGTGGACCAACAAAACACTGTCAACATAGTATACTTTAATAAGGAATTTGATAAAGTAGATTACAACCTCCTTCCTGGTAAGATAGACAAATTAGAGTAGACAGTATCATCACCAGATGGATTTGTAACTGGCTGATCAACCACACTCAACATGTAGTCCTTAATGGACCACATCTACCTGGAGGGAAGTAAGCAATAGGATACCTCAAGATTCTGACTTGGGCCCACTATTCTTCAATACTGAAGCTGTTGCAATGACCAGGGTCTAAGTGACTTTTAGTCAAAAAGTCCATACAGACTTTCCAGCCACCAATAATTGTAGATATTGGCAGGTACATTTTAAAGGGTTGTCGTGGCCATACCTGCTATGGCCCAGAAAAGTGCTTTGGATTGGCAACACTTCATGTCACTTCTTCAGGTGGCAGAACACCTTCTGTCCAAGGTGGTTGACCCTTGAGAGTGGAGTGCTTGTTCTTAGAAATCTGACAACTGCCTTGCTGAGTTTGAACTGGGGTTTGATACTTTGTTGCTCAGCTTTACGTCTGTCCTCCTGGGCTGTTCAGCTTCTCTGCACTCGGCTATGATTTGGGATAACGGCGGTCAGAACCGTTTCTCCATTTATTCTGTCATCCTGTAGCGCCAGCAGCCGAGGACTGCCTGACAGTGGCTTTTCCTACAAAGGTCGAGCTCCACTCACACACAGACGGCGGAGGAGGGGGGCGTTGCCTCCCTGGCCAGCCTACCTCCGCCACCCCCCGCCTCCCGCCTCCTCGGACTACAAGCCCCAGCAGCAGTTTAGGCTTGGCACGCAAGCTGAGGAGGCATCCGAGGAATTTGCTTCCCGCGGTCCTTGGGCTGAACGTCTCTCCAAGCGTGGGGCACGGCAGGACGGAGTCGCCCGCGGCTGAGTGATGGCCCAGCCTTTAATCAGGAAAACTTTCTCCCGACTGAGGAGCAAGGAACGCCTGGGGAGTAAAAAGGCGGCGCCCGCGCCTCAGAACGATCCAGGTACCTGAGGGGGGGGCACAGGGTAGGGGCTCCCCTGTCCCATCCCCTTGCTGGGAGCACATAGACACCTCGCCCGGCAGGAGGGGGCTGCTGTAGAGTTCTTCGGCATTTCCTCCCCAGCTGTTCCTGAAATAGGTAAAAGGAAACAAAGGGGAAAGGCTACCGAGCTGGGATATGTAGTGCACTCCATCTTTTCGCAATGGCCCTGGGGAGCCCAACCGAGGCCCACGTTCCCGAGCGAATTGCTGAGGCCGTTCTCTAGGACGGCCCACGTTTTTCTGCCCAGCCCCGGCCCCAACCTCCGGATTGAGATGAAAAGCGCCTCTTGTGCCTATCGGCCCGTTGAGTAATAAGGAAGCGGAGTGAACTTGGAACTTATAGTTCTGCAACTTCTGCAGCCCCTGCCTCCTTCCTGAAAGCATTCCCAGCAGTCGGGTGAAAACTGATGTTGGTGGTCGGCCGCGACTTTGATCGCAGGAATAGTAGAAAGAGATTGGGATCGGGACCCTTCTGGTTTTAAGGAAATGTGTTCAGCCAGCTTGAGTGGCCTGTTATTTCACCAAAGAGCCCTGTGTTCCTGAAATAATAGCCCAAAGGGATGGCAGTAGCATCCTACAGCCAGAGAGTGAGTGGTTCATATGGTCACAGGACATGTGACTGCCAGAAAGAATCACTTGACTGGATCTTATGTTCTGGATGCCATTCTGTGCCATCATGTGATTCCATTGTCACAAAGAGTCAGTGTCGAATAATAGTTTAAGTGTTGGAAGTGGACTGAGAAAATCCATGTTCCAATCCCTGGTTGATTGTTGGCTTTGCTTGGTAAACTTGAGACAATCACTCTCTTTCAGCCTGCTCTGCCTCTGAGGATTGTGTTGAGGATAAAGTAAGAGAAGGGTGTACACTATGGTATGCACTACATTTATTACATGCTTCATTTACATGCTGGCTTCCAGTTTTTATTTGCATCCAGCTGCTGCAAATAAAACTCTACCTGACAAGAGATCCACAAATGGCTAGATGAATTAAATGTTAATTCTGCAATAGAATGCAGAAGATGTCAGTTGGCATTTCTTTTAATTAGTCTCTGGTGACACTGTAAGAAGGGTCTAAGGAAATCTTCATACTGTATAGATTCCCTTCTCCATTAGGTCCTTCACAATGAACATTCACAGATTGAATGCTGAAAGTCAGGAAATTGGGGTAAATATTGAAATAATAAAGCAGCATGATTTGTATGAGAGAGGCTTACAGTCATATTGAACTAGGTAGCTAATTTGGGTTTGTTTGGGATTAATAAAAACATACCACTGTGAGCCTCTGGAGAAAGTGGCTTACTCTAAACTTCCTTTCTTCTTTTCTAAATAAAAAGTAATAATCATGTAGCTTGTAGAACTGAGAAGGTAAACATGACATGTACTGTAAATTAAGTGTATTCTACTAGTTATGATAACCGAGAAAAATGCTTTCTTTGAGAGTATCCTACATTTCTGCAGTTTTTACTACTTGTAAAAAAAATGACAAAGCTATCTCAAGATGTGTGACTGTTTTTACCCCCAGCTTTTATCTGAGAATTTTGCACAATACTGATGGAAATGGTAATGAACAATTCCCCAGTCAATGAAATAAAACCTTTTTTAAAAATAGTGAAATAGTGTAATCAAATATGTTGATTAATGAAACAGGATGTTCTAAAATTTTAAAAAGTAACTCTGAAAAGGGAGGTAGTTCTACTGTTTGTGCTCTTTCCAATCTCTCCTGATTTGTGACCTGCGTCTTCATTCTTGAGTTATGCCTGAATCAATGGGCATAACTTCATGTGGAGTTAGTTGGGGACCTACAAAGGGAGCTCTGTATCTTGGCCAAGGAGGGAAATATGCAGTAAACAACAGGAAATCCAACTTGGCGCTAGGTCTCAGCAGCTGGAAGCTTGGGACTTTGCCCTATTGCAATCCTCAGCTGCACGTCTTCAGGCCAACCCCTTCCCAGAACCCCTTTCCCCATACTGCTTAATACTTTCTCATTTTTCTTTTGGCATTATAATAAATTCTGAAAGGTTATTTCACTCAAAGAAACTTTCATTTCTAAGATTGTTGACGGCCAAGAAACATTTACTTTCAGTGTTCCCTTTTGATGTGAATTGAGAGTGTCTGGTTCATTATCTGGTAGCATAATTGAAGTAGAATAGAATAGAGCTGGAAGGTACCTTGGAGGTCTTCTATAGGTCCTCCTGCTCAAGCAGGAGGACCTATACCATCTCAGACAAGTTGATTGTTTAGCCTCTCCTTAAAAATCTCCAGTGATGGAACGCCCACGATTTCTGAAGGCAAGCTGTTCCACTAGTTAATTGTCCTCACTGTCAGGAAGTTTCTCCTTAATTCCAGGTTGCTTCTCTCTTTGATCAGTTTCCAACCATTGTTTCTTGTCCTGCCCTCTGGTGCTTTGGTGACTAACATGACCCCCTCTTCTTGGTGGCAGCCCCTCAAATACTGGAATACTGCTATCATGTCACCCCTATTTCTTCTTTTCTTTAGACTAGCCAAACCCAAGTCCTGCAGCCGTTCTTCATATGTTTTAGTCTCCAGGCTTTAATCATCTTAGTTGCTCTTCTCTGAATTTTTTCCAGACTCTCAACATCTTTTTTGTGATATGCTGACCAAAATTGGCTGCAGTATTCCAGGTGTGGTCTTACTAGGGTTTTATAAAGAGGTACTAATACTTCACATGATCTTGATTCTATGCCTCTGTTTATACAAGCCAGGATTGTATTAGCTTTTTTGGCTGCTGCTGCACACTGCTGGCTCATAGTTAAGTGATCGTCCATGAGGACTTGTCCACTATCTTAATACTTAATACTACTAATCAAGAGAAAACTAGAGTCTAGAACTAAAATTCAGCCTTTTGTAGAAAGGTTTACAGTCCTCCTGAATAGTGAGTGGATGATGGCATCTTCATCCTCATCACTAAATTTGCAGATGGTGATTTTGCACAATTACATATAGTGAGCCAGTGGCATTCTTTCCTGAACTAGCTCAATGTGTCAGTGGTTATATACATCCCTTGATTACATCCTGCCATGACAGCTGCAATATGCTGTACATTGAACTGTCCTTGAAAAGTGGAAGCTACCATGTCTACTAGAAAGCTAAACAGTTCAAAATACAGGAATCATATGATATCTATACTGAAACATCTGCACCAGTTGTCAGTTGCTTACTTGCCACAGTGTAAAGTGCTGGTATTGATTTTTAAAGTCATGAACAGCTTAGGCTCCCCCTCTCCTTATGATCCTATATGTTTATTGAATTCTGCAAGAGAGACTTTTTTTGAAGATGATTCCACTGTTAGAGGGCCATCTTTCAGGAACACAAGAGAAGGCCTGGTTCTACGTTGGTCTCAGACTATGAAGAGCACTCCCTTGGGAGATGCATTTGTCCAGGTCTCTCAGTGTCTAGAAAGTAAATGAAGATATTAGTTATCCCACCTAATTTTGTGTTGTCTGCAAATTGGTTAAGCATTCCTTCTATCATTTCCTTACAAACCCATATGAAGCTCCCTGCAATACAGTAGTGGGATTCAGCCAGTTCTCACCAGTTCAGCAGAACTGGTAGCTAATTTTTTGTTGCCCAGTCCCAGAATGGACTTCCAGAAGTGGCATCCACACAGAGAACCGGTTGTTCACATATTTGAATCCCACCACTGCTGCAATACCTCTCTTCATGTTGCTGAAGAACCATTGATAAGTACTCTTTGGATACATTTTTATGTCTATGTCTTATTTTAATTGTCATGCAACCCAGCCCACATTTAACTATCTTGCTAATCAGAATATTTTGGAATGCTTTGGCATGGCTGAAATCAAGAAATTTTACAATGATAGCATTTCCAGTTTAGTAAGGTAGTTAATGAATAAAAAAGAGATAATAAGATTTGTTCATGACAAATCCATGCTAACTACTGGAATTACTGTACTTCCCCAAGCATTGAAAACTGATCTCTTTATTCTGTTTTAAAATCTTTCCAGGTGTCAATGTTAGATTGAGTGGTCATTATGCATTCAATCTTCATTTTCCTTCTTTTCGAACATAGGGACTTCTTCTCATCTGGCACATGCCCAGTTTGCAGGATTTTTCAGAGATAATATATATAGGGATTTGTCTAGACTATGAACTGATTCCTTCAATATCCTAGGATGCAATTAATTTGGTATTGAAGATATAAACTAATTCAGAATAAAGAGATGGCCATGTTTCCATCAGTCTCAAGCTTCAATATTGCTCCTAGATCTTGCTTTTTTATTTTGGTTTGTTCAGTTTTTGTTAGCTGCCTTGAACATTCTCCAGACTAGAAAGTAAATCACATAAAATGAAAAAAAAATGTGATCAAAGGATGCAACACTTCAGATAATTGCAGGAATGAATCCTAGTATGCAGTAAGCAGCATCTGGGCTCCATTTTCTGTTTAGCAAGAGTCATGTTTAGGCTTTGGCCCTTTTCTGTCATTCTGTCTCCTTATTTGCTATGATTAATTCATAATTATATATTTCTCTGTTAAAACAACTAAGAGGCCATATTGGACAGATTAATAAATCAACTTCTGTTCCAGTAGATCCTCCATTGGAGCTATCAGATGATTTACATCTACCTTCTGAGCCTAAGCCAGTGGATACTGTTCTGTTGGATGATGGATGCCAGAAAAGTGCTGCCATCACTATGTCACGGAAACAAAACTGGGCCAAATTCACCTGGGGCAGTCAAGAGGACTTTCGTAACAGGAGGCTGTGCCAGAGCTTTTCCCCTGTGCCACAGGCCCCTGCAGACATTGGCTCAGTGGCAAATGGACCTAATAAAGATACTGACTTGCTAGCCAGCTACCCGGAGACATGTAACCCCACCCTCAGTGCCAAATATAGCAACCAAGGTGCTTATCTACAAACCCTGGAAAAAAGTAGCCGCCAATGGGTGCTGTCCGCAGGGAAGACTCAGGGGGTAGAAGAGACAGCTTCCATCTCTGCCACTAAGATGAAAGATTTCCACAAGCATGGCAACTCCCAAGGAGAGATCTGGTACAACCCAATTCCAGAGGATGAGGACCTGCATCTCCCGTCCCTTGAAAGGAAGTGTGGTAGTGGTTGTGAAAATAGGGACAAGAAGAGGAACCGAACAGAAGTTAAAGTACTGCATGAATGTATAGATATTGGCAGCTCGCAAAAGGCAATCACTAATGTTGTGCAGATTTCACCAATCCAACTGAGGCATATTAAGCAAGTGGAGATGCTGGGCCATCACCAGTCTAAGACATACGGTGAGCTGGTTCTTAGCAGAGACTCATTTTTCCATGAGCATGAGAACTGCCTTGTGGCTTGGACAATTTAAGTCTGAGGACTGTGGGGAATGGTTGCATGTCATGGGTTTAGTCAAGAGCCAGATTGTTCTTCTTTTATACTGAAGCATGATCTCCTGGAAGTATCTCTTCTTTAAAAGAGAAGACAACTCCAGTCTTTTAATTAACTGCTTTGCTGAGTTAGGTTAGTGGACTGTGCTCAGAGTGCTTAAAAGAGATCCATTCTGAAATGCACAGCAGTGCACCACTAAACCCTGTGAGTTGCTCATGGATGTCTTGAAATGTCATTTACCTTAAACATGTATTGAATTTAAGGCAATTACTAAGGGAAAAGCATCTTCAGTGAAACCAGTACATGTCATTGATTGGGTTGCTGGTTATAGAAGTTTCCATTTGTTTAATCATTCATAATACCATCTACTTTTTTTGGCTGAAAATGTTGAGTTTAGCAGTATGTACATTCATGTTCCTATTAATAATTAAAGTAGTATTTCAATTTTGGGGGTATCTGCAGTAGACAAAGCGGGGAGATCTGCTGCTGCATTAACCATTTATACTGTATCAGATTATTTTGCAGCTTTTCTCTCTTTTTTTGAAATAAGAGGATTGTCTTCTTTAGTTATCCTTTTTTGTGAAAAGCCATGAGACCAGTTTTTTCTCTCCCAGCCTGTTACCCTTGCAGCTTTGGTGCAATGCCTGTTACTTCCTGGATAAGTGGCATTTGGCCTGTCTTACACAGTCTCTCTCCTCAGGAAAGGTGCCTGTTGCAACTGTGGAACCTGAAGAAAGTTCAGCCAGTGGCATGCTGATGGCCCAGAACACCAATGCCAATAAAAAGAGCCATTCTTTCAGCAAGACCAAGTCCCCAGGCCCAGTACAAAGTCTTTCCATGAAGATGAAGAAACTGCCAGAGCTGAGGCGGAAACTAAGTCTGCGTAGCTCCCGTCCTCGAGGGCCAGAAGGGAGCTCTTCTGCTAAGGAGTCAGGGAATGTCATCAGCCGCTACCATCTTGACAGTAGTGTGGTATCTCAGCGACCTGTGACCAGCAATGGGGGATATTTGAGTGACAGTGAATCCCCAGAGCTGCTGTCTAAGGCGGAAGCATGCCTTGGCCTTGAAGGGTCATCATTCTGGCTGTACAGTTTTGCTGAACAGCCTAGCTGTCTACAGCATCTCTCTGGTCTTGTCAGCATCCACCTGCTGGGGATCCAGGGCTTCAAGCCTCCCAAAGCTGAAACCAAAGAGCTCTTCTGCATTCTTCAAGTAGACTCTGTTAACAAGGCTCGCACAGCCCTCCTGCCTTGCCAGGCTGCTGTCCTCACTCTCAACCATTCTTTCCAGCTGGAGCTTGAGGATGCCCAACTTCTCAAAATGGTGGTCTTCTCCTGTGATCCTACTGTGGGCAAGAACCGAGTTTGCTGCCACGGTACCATCATTCTGCCCCAGGTTTTTCAAGGTGAGGAAGACTGTTGAGGCACATGCCAATAGACAGTTTTCTAAGGAATTACAGATAGAAATAATGTCCTTTGCAGTTCACCTGCTCAGGAACATATAGTAGGAAGCTACCTTCTGCCGGATCAGATCATATTTTTACTAGTTCAGAAGAGACTAGATTGAAGGGTCTCAATCCACCATCATTCCCATTAAAGGTTACTTTTAAACTTGTGGTGGGATGAAAGTCAAAGTTGTAACCCCATTCATGCAAGGACTGTACTCTCTTATTGTCTCTCTCCTTCCTGCCAGCAGGGCACAGGATCTAAGTCCTGCTCAAGATAGTAAAGTGTTGGATAGATCTCAAGAGCTTCTAATATGGATTGACCCCATGGCATTGCGTGGTCTGGGGAAGGGGATGGGGAAGTGGGGATCCATTGTGGTCCTCACATTCTCTAACATTTCTGGTTTTAGGTTGTAGGACCCAGCAGTTGGCACTACAACTGGAGCCTCAGGGGCTTCTTTACATCAAACTCACTCTGGTGGATCAGTGGGATCTAGCTAACTCTGAACAGGAACCACAAGTCTTTGGAGTGAAGCTGAATCAGCTGGTGAAAAGAGAAGGTGCTGCCATCAAGGTGCCACTCCTAATTCAGAAATGCATAACCCAGATTGAGAAACGAGGATTGAAGGTGAATGTTCTCCATACCCAAAGCAACCAATTTCCTAAGTTAAATGTAGTGTCTTCTACAAAACAGAGTAGCTCAACCTGACCATCTCCTTTCTCCCAACCCAGATGTCTGTTTTTTGCAGTATGCCATCCATGTGGGATTTATTTATTTATAGAACATACATGGCCACTTATCTCATACAAGGATTCTAGGCAGCTCACAACCAACCCTAAAACATAGTTAAAAATGAAGATACTTTCCCTCCAAGTTCCAGACCAAACATTCTCACAATTCAGCCCCATATACTAGCCCAATGCTTGGGGGAAGAGCCAGGTCTTCAGAGCCTTTCAGAATACTAAAATGGTAGGGATCCCTCTGATCTACAGTGGGAGGATGTTCCTCACCCAAAAGGCACACCTTCAAATTCCATCTAATAGCAACATTTAAGGGAAGGGATCTTGAGTGCACCCACCCTATCTAATTTAGTAGGACAGGCAGATACCAGCAGGGAGAGGCATTCCTTTAAGTAACCTAGCCTTATGCCATTAGGGCTGTTAAGATGATAATCAGCACCTTGAATTGGCGCTGGAAAGCAACTGCATGCCAGTGCCACTTACACAGCAGTGGTATTACTTGAATGAACCACAAGGCATCCAAAACTGCAAGTGCTGCTGCATTCTATACAGTTACAGCTTCTAGATAATCTTCAAGGTCAGCTCTGTGCGAAGGCATTATACTAATTCAAATGGGAGGTGATTAAGACATGGGTGACTTCTTCCCTAACTATTGCTTGCAGCACTGTCTGATTATCCAGGTGATCAGCTCTGTTCTGTTTGTAGGTGGTAGGCCTGTATCGCTTATGTGGCTCAGCAGCAGTGAAGAAGGAATTACGTGATGCCTTTGAGAGGGATAGTGCTGCTGTTGTTCTTTCTGAAGATCTTTATCCAGACATCAATGTGATTACAGGTTGGTGCCTACAACTGGACTCTTGTTAGACTTATTGACTGAAAAAGTTCCCAGTGGGCTCTGGAAAGACTTCTGGAATTAATAACATGTAGGCAGGTCACATTACCAATACCAATGTGGAGTGTGGAAAAAAATCAATTTAGAAACACACTGGAACTCATTGACTGCTGGGTCAATTAAAGCAAGTTTACTGCTCTTACTGAAACATTTGCTCACCATCCATCACTATTATGGGATCAAGGCTTTCTAGCTATAACCCTTCTTCCCTGTGTGAAGTGCAACAGATTCTTGAGGTTCTCCCTGCACATCCAGCCTTTTGAACCCACTCTGCATTTCTCTGTTGCTATGCAGTTCTTTCCCTCCTCTTCATAGTACAGATCACAGTTAAAAGAAGCTCAAGGAATTCTGTCTTATGTGAAAGGTGCTGACTCTTCTACAGACAGGTTGAAGGTATTGGAAAAAGACTCATGTAAGCTGCTGGGAACTGGGTTTCCCTCTCCAAACTTTTTTACCTGAATTCAGGCCTTCCCCAAGTTTACACAGACTTATCAGCCAGGCAGTGCACATCTTGGTCCACCTCTTGGAAACAGAGCATTCAAAAGCTCCACATAGGATTTCTGGAACCATGAAACAACTTAGTCTTCCTTTCCTGAACTAACTATTAGTGGAACTGAAGTCTGATAGGACATCAACTTTGCATTTCTGAAAGTTCAGGGGATAAAGAGTGGGATAAGAAATCCATTAAATGCTAAACAGATAGTTGGCACATTCAGGAACACTAAGAAAGGTCTCCTTAGCTTTATTTGGGTGTGTTATTGTAAACTGTCCCGTTTGGCACTTTCAACAAAAGAAACTCCTAGCTCTTTAGATTGACCAAGACTGTAGCTTTATTGAAAAATCCATCTAGGCACGGCAGAAGCAAAGTCAGTTTTGGGATTTTTCCTACAAAAACCCACATAGATAACTTCCTTTTTCCCTCTGGGTCACCATAGTTCACCAATTAATTCTTTTGCTTTGGGAAAAGCTGTCTGCTTGGTCAAAACATTCTTCATTACTTGGCCTTGTTAGATAATGTCTCCCCAGCAACAGACCATTCACTTGCATTCCATAGCCTCCCTCCACCCTTAGGAATTCACCACCCTCCTTTTGTCACTGTTTGGCAAAGCTGCGAGTGAAAGCAAGTACATGCAACTATGGAGTTAACTCAGGTTTGACATGCCGACCCTTCAGAAGAATGATAGCCCTGGAAAATAAAACACAATAGTGCAAACATTAGACATTACTGTCCACTTCCAAGACCACCCTACACTTGACCTGGCCTGGATGCTCAGCATGAAATATGCACACTAACCTAACTGCCTTCACATCTGATGCTGCCACTCATTCTGCATTGGCTAGAGGGTAGCGTCTCCATAATACTAAATACTGCAGTTTCCCTCTGTCGTACCGGGAGTGAAGAATATCTTTAATTTCATAGTGTTCCTCTCCTTTGACCAGAATAGGAGGAGGAGGAGGCACTTCGGCAATGAGTCTTAATCCTGAGCTGCGGAAAGGTTTCAGCAGACTGCAGTGAAATACAGGGTGGGCTCGCTTAAAGCTTTCTGGCAGCTGCAATTCTACAGTAACCGGATTTATGATCTGGGTAATTGGAAAAGGCCCTATATACTTTGGACCCAACTTTTTACCTGCCTCAGGTTGAGAAATTTTGTAGACAGGTACACTTTATCTCCCACCTTGAATTCCCCCCCTTTTTTGTCTGCTTGCTTCTTTGATATTTCCCTAGCTTTCTGTAATGCTCTGTGTGCTAAACCCCCCCCCCCATGTTTCCTTTAAGGTTTCCGTCCACTCAGCCAATGAAACCAAGGACGGTCATCCCTGAGGGATCTCTGGCATCAGCACAAACTCCACCCCAGTAGCAATCCTGAAAGGGGTAAATCCTGTGCTACTATGCACGGAGTTATTGTATGCCATTTCTGCAAATGGCAGGAGTTTGGCCCAATAGGTCTGTTGGTAATTGACATAACATCTCAGGTACTGCTCTAACATTGAATTGGTCCATTCACAGGCTCCATTGGTACTGCGAGGGTAGGCGGAGCTAAGACCCTGTGAGGGCCAATCAGCTTAAGGAATTCCCACCAAGTTTTGCCATGAACTGCACTCCACGGTCTGAGATGATGCACTCTGGGACTCCATGCAGTTGGTAGATATGTTTTTTGAACAGCTTTGCCAGGGTTTGGGTGGAGGAAACCTTTGGGCATACCACAGAATGTGCCTGCTTGGAGAATAAGTACATAATGGTCCAAATTACATTGTTTCCCTGCACTGTCTGGCAAGTCCACAAAGTCCATGGAGATTTCCTCCCAGGGGCTCTGTAAGGACCTGCCTCAGCTAGTGCTCCCAAGAAACCAGAACTCTTGAAACTGGTTCCGATAGATGGAACCAAATAAATCAGAACTCTGAGCCTTGAATCTTCCTCAAAGATAGCTTCCGGAGGGAGGGGACATTCAGCATTTCTAGGTTTTTATCTGTCCAGACCTCAAAGGGAATCTTGCTACCCTCCAGGAACTGTCTCCATGTAAGGAGAGCCCATCGGACTGCATAAGCCTCCTTTTCCCAGATAGCCCAGCGCCTCTCAGTGTTGTACAACAGACATGTAAGCACACGGTTGTAATTCCCCTTTGGCATTCTTTTGGAGTAGGACCGCCCCCACTGCTATATCACTGGCATCCGCCTGTATTACAAACGGCTTGTCAACTCTACAATGAACCTGGCTGAAGCCATCTTGCTTGTTTTCAGTTGCCACAGGAATGGGGGGAGGAATGGGGAGTTTTATGCTAGTCTAAACATTTCTCTGTCCTGTGAGAACCAAGGTCATTTCTGTTCATTAGACTGGGGGTTGAGCTTAATGTTAGAAAGCCCACCAAACTGTTCTATTAGGAAACGTAGTTGATTGCGTAGTTTCTGGGATGGGAAGTTTAACTTTGTAATACTGTAACCTTTGGAGGGAATTTTAGTCTTGGTTTCACTTTTGACCCTGCCGATACTTTGTAGTCAATAAACATATTCTTGGAAGAAAACTCAAGCCTCGGAGTTCTGCTTTAATTGGTTTCATCTATCGCAGACATATCAAACACAAGGCCCGGGGGCCGGATGTGGCCCGTGACGTGGTTTCATGTGGCCCGCGAAGCCATCCTGGAAACAGTGAGGGAACCGCCCCTGCTGCCTTGGCCCTGGCCCAGGCCGGCTGGGAGCCAATGTACAATTTTGTGGTGGCCATCTATGCTGAAACGCATTCAGTCTTAGCTCCACAAGGCCGTCTAGAAACAGCAAGGGACCGGCCTCTGTAGCGTTGGCCCCACCCCCTGGGTGCGCACTGAGGAGGTGTCACCCTTTGTGAGGAATGAAGAAATGCACCATCGCCTGGAAGTGGCCAGCAAATGGCCCTCGCCTACTTCACATATCCAGCTTGATGGGCTCTGGGGGAGGGGTTTCAGCAGGCTCTTCCAGTGGACCATGCCTTGGTGCTTGCCCTGGTCCCACCCCCTTCTGCCAGAGACCCTCAGATCTGTCCCACTCCTGCCCAGGCCCCCACAGACACCCTTAACGCGACAATGTAGAGCTGGCCATGCCCACCCAGTAGGCCACACCCACTCCAACCACACCCACCCAATAGGCTGTGCCCACCCTGGCCACACCTACCCAGCCCCCCGAGGACAACCGCAATGCTGATGTGGCCCTCAATGAAATTGAGTTTGACACCCCTGATCTATCGGAACCATGACACGGCTCCTCTGGGTTGAGGTGTTTCAGGATTGACTCCGCAGCAAACAGGTGCTTCAACATTTCAAAAGCGGCTTGGCAGTTAAGGAACCAATCCAGGGGCTGACTGGGTTTTGGTTTTGCCCCTCCCCCTGTCTTTAGCAAATTGGTGATTGGTAGGGCTATCTGGGCGAAGGTGGAGATGAATTGGCGGTAAAAGTTCATGAAGCCCAGAAAACTCTGTAGTTGCCCTCTGATCCGAGGGGGCTCCCACTCCAGTATTGCCTTCACCTTTCTGGGATCCATCTCCAATTCCTCACTGGAGATCTGGTATCCCAGGTAGTCTAAGTAGCTCTTGTGGAATTCACACTTAGACAGCTTGGCGTAGAGTTGGGTTTCTTACAATTTTCTGAGTATGGCTCTGACCAGCTTCAAGTCTTCTTCAGGAGTCTTGGTGTATACTAATATATCGTACAGATGCTTATGCAGGATCTCATTTATCAGTTGTATGAATACAGTGGGACCCCTTGCAGCCCAAATGGCATTACTCAGAACTGATAGCAGCCTAGGGGCAATTGAACCTGTTTTCCACTCATCCCCTTCCTTAATCCTCACTTGATAATACCCCTCCCTCAAGTCCAGCTTCGTGAAGTTCCTTCCCTTTGCCAAATAGCCTAGCTTGTCCCTCATAAGGGGGTGAGAGTACATGTTTTCCACACATATGCAGTTCAGTCCCCTATAGTCAATACATAGTCTAAGGGACCCGTCCTCCTTTTCTTTGAAAACCACCGGGGGCCCCATTCTCAATTTTGCCAGCTGGATGAACCCCCTCCCTAGGTTCTGCATGAATGCATTTAGGTTGTCCAGTTCCCATGCCCCAGCATTGTGCAGGGACATGCTGCCCTCCCGGTTGGATGCCACTGCATAAACCTGGGCTGCATCATCTGGGTACATTCCCCTATAACCTCCATGTGATGCTATATCTGGCCTAAGAAGTGAACCAGTTGCTGCTGTTCCCTGCAAGTGGGATCCATTTGTCCTGGCAGGTGCTGGCACCACCGGCTGAAGGAATGGAGGGGACAGGATAGTTAGTGACTTCACTGCCCCTGTCTCGGCCACAGTTACCTTGGGTCCCAGTGATGCTGCTCCCTTGATCTCCAGGCCTCTGAACCTCTCTCCCAGCTGCTCCATTGATGGGCTGTGGGCGGTAGCAGGGAGCTTCCACTCAACCAGCTTGTCCC